ATGGAAGGGGACCCGGGGCTGGGCAGCCTGCCCCAGGCCTCTGCCCGGCGACTGCGCAGCCCCCTAGTCCCCCAAAAGAGCAGGACGCTTGTTGTGTTTATTATGTGACACGGGTGTGATGAGAGGTCGGATAAGAGAGGGAGAGTCCTGGTCGGAGGGAAAGGTACCGAGGCAGGGATGCACGGGCAGGGGGCGCCCCATCGGCAGGACTGCGCTCCTTTCCCGTGCCCAGCCTGGCTCCTGCGAGGCCAGCGTGCTCCCAGCACCGGGGTAATGTCCCCGCAGGTTTAATTCTGGTTTAGCGGGGTAGGTCGCCTCCACTTTGATATTGTTAGTGGCTGACTGGCCTGGCTTTTGTATCCCTGTTGCGCTCACTGCAGCTGGGTGCAGGCTTTAGCCTGACCTGGGGTTGTGTGGTAGCAGGTACTAGGCCTAGTGCTCATGCAACCCACCCATTGTCCCTGTCCCACCCCCCTGAACCTGCAATGCTGGTTTGAGGGGCATCTTTCCTGAGACTTTATGTCGAGTTCGTTTCCCTGTGATGTGGCTGGTGTTCACAGGTCACCTCGAACCGCCTGCTGTCCTCATAACTGCATGTGAAGCCCCTGGTGTTGCAGAGTTAGTTCATCCAGCTGTCCACGAGGTTTATTAGATTAACTTTCACAAATAATGGAAAAAATGGTTGAGCAGTTTCTGGGCTTCAGCTTTTGGAAAAATAGCATAGTGCTGTTTACAGTGTTTAAGCCAGTGATTCTGCTGGGTTCCAGCAGGTATTGCACTCATGAATTGGTCCGTTCAGACTCACATAATGCAATTATGGATAACAGTTATTACATACTAAAACTGATAAAAAACCACTCCTCAAGCCCCAGAGTCAATTGCATCCAAGAAGTTCAGGGTGAATAAAATTAGGAGTTTATTTTTATGATACCTTTTGTCAGCAGGAGTGTTAGTATACGTTTTGAATTTTCTTAGAAGGAATTCCCTTGTAATCACTGGAACTTGGATTCTAAGTCTAGTGATCTGAAATCTTGAAAAGAAATACTGGAAATGTGGAATTGCACTATAGACTAAAAAAAAACCAGACCAACCAACCCATCAAGCACGTGTAGATTTCCTGCATCAAACTTTGATTTATTTTTTTTTTCTGTGCTATTTAGTTCTTTAACTTATTGCATACCATTTGGTAGGTTGTAGTGCTGCAGACATTTGAACTGGCAGTACAATCAAAACCAGCCATTCCCTTACTCATTAGTTGTCTGTTTGTGTGGCTGTGAAAAGGCTGTTGACCCAAAATGCTGTGGCTTCATATTGTTTTCTTCCAAGTTCATGGTCACAGTGAAGGACCAGCTGAAGTGTGTGTGTTTGTTGGTTTGGTTTTTTTTAAAAATATTACTGTAGTCAGATATAAGCAGGCCATGTGTATACACTTTTGTGTAACTTGTGCCTTGCTTTTCTGTGGTGATGCTGCAAGCGGGATGAATACTCTTGAAAATGACTGCAAAAAGATGAGAGAGACATGAACCCATGTGAAAGGATATGGGACTGGTTTGGTTGCAACAGTGCAAATGCGAAGTCATGACAGATTTTGTTAGTGGCATTTGTCAAGCTCTAGGTAGAGAATTAAAAGATTTAATAGGTAAGTATAGTTCTTGGCAAGTCTAATGTAATGTTTCCAACTTCTCTTTTAAAGAAACTGAAGAAGTTTTTAAAGTGAAGAAATCAAGTTACAGCAAAAAGATTGTAAAGCAGTTGAAGAAGGAGTACAAAGAAGATCTTGAAAAATCAAAAGTTAAAACAGAGGTCAATTCTCCAACAGATGGTAATTGCAAAACTAACAGTAACTTTTGTAATGGCAAAGATTAAGTATTGTAAATGCAGACTAGTTGTTTTCAAGATGAATTTAGTCTTTTTAGAGGATTTAGCATTTAGAACAAAAGTAAAGCATGCATTAAATGTGTGCATTTGAACCTTACAAATGCCGCTCTGAAGCTGGTAGAGAGTTCTTTGAAATGGATGTAGAAGGATGAAACTTCTCAGCTACGTATATGGTTGTCAGTACACCTCAGTAGTTTCTCTATTTCAGCTTTGTTCATGTCATATGAGTTTCTTCCTATTGAATTAGGAAGAAATTAAATTGGTTTAGAACTTTGCCCAGTGTGTATTTAACGGGGTGTGTCCTTGTAATACACCTTCTCAAAAAGGAAGATTTTGGGCGGAGCAGAGTGGTGGTCTTTTCTATTAAGTAAATTACTCAACAGCTGCCTGTTTCAGGATCTGGACCTTAGATTAGACTTGATCATTAAGATGACAGGATGAAAGTGTTGGAGCAGAAGGGTCTTTTAGCAATGTACAGTCCTCCAGAGCTTGGAATAGGGCCTGGGATTTCAATTTCATTGTACTTCTGCTATTGGTTTTTGGAAGCTCGTTGGTAAAGTGTCATGATTCCTTTTCCAGTTAGGATTTTGTGTAGAGTAATAACCTACAGCTGTATGAGCACAAGTTGAGAGGCTTATGATCTAAAAATTAAAATTATATAGCTGAAGCATGAGAGTTAAACGTGATCCCATGCAGAAAATGGCCCCTTTAAAAGTTAATTAAATTAGTCTTTTAAAAATCTTAAGGATTTTTTAAAGGTTTTGTCTGCATTTAAAAAGCCTCCAAATTTTTTCCTATTAGAATCTCTAAGTTGTCTGTGCAGTGGTACAGGGCAGGAACAGAGACAGAAATGATTGTGTGTGCTTATTTTCTGTTTGTGTGGTTTTGTTATGGTACAAAGACCTCATAGCTGCTACGGAGTCAGGAGTCTGGATTCTCTAAACAAATGCTAAAGTCTGAAATCTCATAAATGTGCAGCTTGGGTTGGATGGCTGGATTTAACATGCATTTTTTGCGTAACATTTGTACCTGCTGCCAGTGTCTGTATGTTACCCCTCTAATATTGGGTGATGTTACACCCTAGCCCTAGAGTAAAATGAAGAAAAGTGTGCTTTTGAAATGTCTGTTCTTGTGGAAAAACTTGGTGTAACGCAGACATTCCTTTCTAATTACATACATAAAAGACTGTGTGAAGGTTGCACATATGATCTTTATTGAGTTCCCTCGCTTTTTAATACTTGGCAATATATAAAATGTTTAGTGGTTGTTGAGATGCCTGCTTTTATTTTGGGAGGATATCAGTGGCTTAATTGCAATTAAGGAGGTGTATTTTACTAGATTTCAAACAATAAAATTACCATTTCACAATTTCTTTTGATTTTTACTTTTGGTTGTTAGACTTTAAATAAATCGTTCAGAGTGATCTTTATAGAAAGAGTAAAACATGGGCTTTGTTGTCTTACCAGTTGAACCACCACTAGAAAAGACAGGGCAGATTAAGGATATAGGTCAAGAAGATGGGACTGCGAACAGTGAGCATGGTGAAGAAGAAATGGAAGTTGAAAGTGAGAAGGAAGACGAGAAAACAAAAGCTGGTGGGGCTTTTTCAAGTGCTCTATCATCACTGAATGTTCTCCGCCCAGGTTGGTTATTGTATTATGTCTGATACGTTAACAAATGCTTTAGCCAGCAGACGAGTGTATTTTAGAGATTAGGAAATGTTTTCCAGCGATATATCCAGCATCTGAGAATTCAGGAGACTGCTATTTTCCAAAGCTGTTCAGTTTTACAAGCCTTATGAGTGAAAATGTTTTACTACAGAGTGCTTCATCTTGATATAAAAAGCAGGAATTTGTCTCTCGAAGTGATGACAAACTGTAAGAAAATCTAGATTTGGAATACGTGATTTAACATGAATTTTAACTACTTTCAATCAAAATTCTGTCTTTAGTTTGAATGTCTCAGTTACAGGTCTGCAAGGTATCTCAAATGTTTTCCCTTCTCATTTTGTCTAATGAGGTTATAATCAGACCCTGAAGCCAATTAATAATTGTTAGCTAGTTTGTGGTAGCCTGTTCCCCAAATAGAATATGTATGCCCTAGGTCCACAAACGTGGCCATATTTCAAGGGAAAAAGAATTTCCTGGTTGATTCCCAAATAATTTTTCCTTTTAGGGGTAATGGCAAAGGGGTGGAATCTGTGTGTTTAAATCTCTAAAGATACTGCTGGCTTGAATAGTGTTGAGTATAAAGAGAATCTGAAATTTGAACTTTTGTGCATGCCTAATGAAAATAGTGGTAAAAGTTATTTGTTTCAAAGGATTTATTTTGGAGGACCATTCTTTGTATGACTTAGATAAGTTGCATTGATTTTGTGCTAGGCATTTTAGATTTTTTTAAATTAGGTCTGCTTTTCTCGTTTCCCTTTGATCGTACAATCATCTTATATTAGCTTTGTCTGGTTTGGTGTCTTCTTATTCTCTGAGCTCTCATAATCTGTTGAAATGGCCAATGATTTTTGTTCCTGCAAAATAAGAAGAGCAGCATCAGGACAAGAAGTGTCATAGTCAAGAACCTAATTTTCTTCCTCTCTTTGCAATAGTCAACTCCTGTAGAAGGCTTCCTCTTCTTTAGGAATGTTTCCCACAGGGACATCAGGCTCCCACTCTTATGGCTCATGAGCTGCTGGAAGCAGAGCCAGACTTTTTGGGAAAGATCCCAGCTTTGAGGGTTTCTGATCAGAAAGTTTGCACGTGCAGCTTGTAAGTTGCTTGCAAATGTTTCTGTGAGCATGGATTTTTTTTCTCTCACATTTTTTGCTGCTTGCAAAGATGATTTGGTAGGGTGGCAGAGATGAGTAATAAGGAGTCATAATACTTGTTTTGTTGCAGTGGTTGTTTAACGGTGCAAACATTTATCCCTAGGAGAAATTCCAGATGCTGCTTTTATTCATGCCGCTAGGAAAAAGCGTCAAATGGCTCGTGAACTTGGAGACTTTACTCCTGTTGACAGTGAACCAGGTAAAAGCCGCCTTGTTCGAGAGGATGAAAATGATGCCAGTGACGATGAAGATGATGACGAGAAGAGGAGGATAGTTTTTACAGTGAAGGAAAAATCCCAAAGGCAAAAGATTGCTGAGGAAATAGGTAAAATCTTTTTAGAAGGACAGCCAATAAAAATAAATATTGTTTTCACTGCAAGTGCTCCCATTCAACATTTTTAAACAACACATTTTTCAAACAACACATTTTTCAAACAGGCATTCATCTGGAGTTGTATTCCATTTCTAAGGAAAAGTACTTCATAATAGAATCTGCATATAAAATTTTGAAGACAAACTGTGTTTCTGTGCTTAGAAGCACACATCTCTATTGAAGCTGCTAGAAAGTTATGCTAAGGACGAATCAGTATTTTTCCTGTACTTTGTTGTTTTGGAAGTATATAGTTGTGAAAAGGAAACCATTAGTTCTTTGGTATAGCATTCTTCTTGCTGACAAGCAGTTAAAATAACCTTTTGGAAAAGGAGAATTAGTAAGATGTATAGGATTTTGCCATTAGACAGTTTTACCAGCAGTTACTTGCAAATTTACCCTTTGGATATTTTAAGTGGAACCTCTGTGGTAATAATTCACAGACTAGTGTCTTTAATTCCTCGTGAAGAGGAAAGGAGGATGCCCTGAGATGTTCACATCTAAGCATGTTCTCTTAGGTTTTTGAATTCACGGCCCTTACTATAAATACATTACCTTCTCCTTTTTGTTACCTGTCTCTTTTACTCATATTAAGGTATTGAGGGAAGCGATGATGAAGCACTGGTGGCAGGGGAGCAAGATGAAGAAATCAGTAGATGGGAGCAAGAACAGATACGGAAAGGAATCAACATACCTCAGGCATGTATTTAGTTGTGAGCTCTCTTTGGTTTGTTTCTGTGTATGTTGGCTAAATCCATTACAAACTTGAGTAGTTTACAGAAGGCCATTTTGTATGAGAAGTTCAGTGTGTAACTTCTGATATTCTTTAAAGAGAAATGAGAGGTCAAATTTTAAGTGTGCAGCAGTATCTGCTTCAGTAGTCTCTCTGTTCTGGGTAGATACTGATTGCTCGTGGTGCTGTTAACCAGCATTTGTTTGCAGCCTAAAACTGAGCTAGAATAGTGTCACTTGGAAGAGACCTCTGTTCTGGTTTATCATTGGGTTTGTAGAGTCTATGTAAACAGTGCATGTTTCTTTGCTATTTCTGTATCTTGTGTTGCAACATAGAGTTGGAATTTGTAGCAAGTTGTGTCCTATGTTGTCAGTACGTTCATAGTGAAGTATAGTTTGGAAAGAAAACCAAAAAAAAAGACCAAAAAACAACATTTCAGCAAAATCAAAACCAAACACACTGACTCTATGTCTATGTTTTAGTGGGACAGAATTTTAGAGTCATTTTTTTGTTGAGGAAAACTGCAATTTTGTAAGGACTGCAACACTCTATTTCTATGGCAACAAAATTGATAAAAACTTTGTTATAGGTTTCAGCTAATACTGTCATGCAGGTTGCCACAGTGCTCAAGGTCTTCAAGGTCTTGAGATAAAGTTGCAGAGGCTAGGGGGAGTGGATACCTAGGGGAGTCAACCCCAAGGTGACCCCAGGCTGACCGATTAATACTATTCATACCATAAACATCATATTCACTATAGATTGGGGAATTTGCTGGGGACAGCCCTCCTATTCCTCCTTCTTCCTTCTCTGCCTCTTCATCTCCCTTCTGCTCCCTATTTCGTGGCTGACATCTTGAGAGGAACTTGTTTACCATCCTAACCCTGAGGCCTATTCCCCCACAATATTGACTGAGTATAACTCTTGTATATTTTATATTATAACTGTTACTAATATTAGATTATCATCATCATTATTTTAAATCTATTTCTATTTCAACCCACAAATCTCCTTTCCTTTTCCCAACCCTCCTCCCTGGGTGGGGAGGAGGCATGGAGTAATAGAGCAATTGTATTGCTGATGACACTCTAAGAACCTATGTCATTCTGTTAGTCTCAGCAAAAATTAGTAGTCCCAAACACTTAGTTATTGTAGGAGTTGTAGGCTAGTTAAAATTGTCATTTAATAACTTGTTATAGGTATAAATATTTAGAATGATAATGATACTAAGAGTTTTCCCATTTAAGAAGTTCCTTCTGAGATAATTTGTTTCTTCTGCCTTAGTTGTTGGAACCTCTACACTTAAATCCACTTCATAATTACATTTTGTAAATGTACTACCCTGAATTTTTTCACTTTATACTATTTGACATGTGAAAGAAAATAAGTTTCTCCTTTCTTTAAAGTCTAATACAGTACAATTGCATGTCTTTTTCCGTTAGGTTCAACCAAGTCAGCCTGCTGAAGTGAATAATCTGTACTACCAGAACACTTACCAGACACTGTCTTATGGTTCATCGTATGGCATTCCATACACTTATGCTGCGTATGGATCATCGGAAACCAAGTCTCAAAAAACAGATAATACAGTTCCTTTCAAAACTCCCAGTAATGAGATGACTCCTGTTACTATTGATTTGGTAAAGAAACAGCTTAAAGACAGGTAGGACAGACCATCTTTTTAGACTTAAAGACCTGTCCCCTAGCTTTCTGTTCCTCAGGCGTCTGTTAGTCTCGGTGAGCAAACACAGAGTTTCATCGCTGGAAAAATACTGACTGACACATCCATTAAAAAAATAAAAAGGCAAACAAAAAAGCTCAAAGTGAAGATGACATTGACACTTTGTTTGAAAATCTCCTTGGATTGCTTCTCTGGAAGTGAAGCTTTAAATACGAGGCCATTGGTCTTGTTGAAGAGAGGTCTGAGTTGCATCTTCTGGACACTGCACAGTCTTGTAGTCAAGAATTGAAAGGCCAGTGTGAGGTGTTTAGCTTGTCAAGTTGTATTCTTCGAAACTGTCAATCAGGTTTTTCCCCTTCAGTAGATGAAGAATTTAAATTTTAGTATATACAGCAGTTTTTTTGGTTTAAACACTGTAATCTGCTTGTCAGGTACGCAAAAGGTCCTACTGAATGAACAACCCAATTGCAGTGAGAAATCTTTTGTAATGAACAACTTGTACTTTAGATGTCTTCAAAATTGGTTTGTATGCCCCTTGTAGTGTAGCAGCCTTTGACAGTGAATCAAGTTAGTAGAGGAATAAGACTGCTTTGTATAAACTATAGTTTTCTCCCTCTTCTGCCCCACCTCTGTAGTTTTTCCTAGTTTTTTTCTTTAGGGCCAGCCTTGCATTATTCTAAGTGATATCAACTCCTGTAAAAATTTGTGGGAGTGGGCAGTGCAATGCAGTCATCGTAGTCTAGCAAATGAATTTAAACCATTAGCCTTGATTACATAGAGAGGGGAGAAAGTGACAGGTGAAAGTTAGCGCATATGTCTTTGCAGTATTTCCCATATTTAGACTTGGTACTTGCACTGTCTATTTAATATCTCGACGGTCTGAAATATATAGACTTTTGGATGTAAATTTGCTATTTATCCGTTGCCCTTCAGGTTGGACTCTATGAAAGAATTGCACAAAGCTAATCGGCAGGAGTATGAGAAGCATCAGCAAAGCCGAGAGGACTCTACCAAGGCAATTGAAAGATTAGAAGGGTCTTCTGGGGGTATTGGTGAACAGTATAAGTTTTTGCAAGAAATGCGAGGGTATGTCCAAGACTTGCTTGAGTGTTTCAGTGAAAAGGTAAGGATGCAAAAACATTCCTCTTTTTTCAAAAAAAAAAAAAAAAAAAGTAGGGACGCTTAGTACATGCCAAACACCACATCTCCCTCTCTTTTTGAAAAAACTCCCCTGAGAACATATTCTTCTAAAGGTTTGGTTATTCAAGGGTTGAAAAGATAACTTTTCGTCATGCTGCTAAGATGCTTATCAAAAACCTCTCTTTCACAGTGTTATAGGTTGCGGACTTTAGATCGCCTAAAACCACTTTTAGATTACGTGTCTTTAGGATTTTGGTAGATATTCTAGCATTTCAACTTTACTCAGATGCTGCTTGTTACTTGTGTGGGATATCAGGTTAACAGAAATAAGGGCTGAGTTACAACATTGCTAGTTTCTGGAGTGCTTTATGAACGCAGTAGCAAAGACTTGTAAGTTTTGTGCATTACTGTAAGCTTCCTCCTGCCAGGCAGTTTCACATATTTCATATTGCTCTAGTGTCTGAAGGAGAAAAGTTTTAAAACTAGTGTAGCTGTCTGAAGACACTCAAACTTTAGAATATACTTTTTTCATATAGTGTGATACTTCTGTATACTTCTAACTTGGAGACTTTGTCTGTCTTATGTTATTCATTATACTTTAATTACTTTCTTTGTTGTAAATATAACAGGAGATCCTGAAAAAAAATATATATATATTTGTATCAAGCACACAGGAGCTATAAAATATAGGTAGCAGTACACAGGCTATTTTATCATTGTCTTCTGACTTGAATACAGTAGTACAGAATCTCCTTAATACTTTAGCTATCAGCATTACTTGAGTAGTTGAAGCAACTGCTTACCTAGCTTGTTAGATGTGGGAGAGGACTATAAAAGCATTCTGGTGGCCAATCGGTTAGATGTTAATTGCCCAGCATTAGTGGTATTGGGAGAAACATGGCTTCAGTCCCGTAAGCTGGAGAATAACGGTGTTATGTACAAACCAGGAAGTGTGGATCAGTTGATTCACTCAGCTGATTGGTTAGTTACCATAGATACTGCTCAGTGAGAAGCAGTATTCCTGAGTCTGCATTGGAATTAGCTGTTAAGGGGTAGTAAAGGTACTTTGCTTTGCAACTTTGTCAGTGCTGGTTGCACAGATACCTAAATTCTTACTTAAAGATAACTTTTTATATTCTTTCTCTGAGATAAATTTGTATTTCAGAAGGCAAGTTAAATATCTGTATCTCTGTTTTCCATTTGCTTTCTAAAGACCTCTTTTTTTTGTGATAGCTGTAAGCCATATCTGGAGGTTCTCTTTGATAGCCTGTGCTGTCTTGTTCAAATATTTTCTTTAAACAAGTTGCTTTAGAATGCACCATTCTGAGTATAAGCCAAGTGCTTTACTGTCCCAAATGTTGTATAAACCAGGAAAGATTACTGTTAACTAATAGTGTAACAATTTCAGTTCAGTTTGTAGGAAGGTTATTGACCTATCTAGCTATACTAGCAAAGAAATCAATTACAGTCATTATACAAGCAAAATAGCTGCTGATAATTTAACAAACAGGCTTGTTAAAGTTGCTTTCTTTACAATATACCTTTGCTTTCCTGGTAGTTGGTCTTTTAAGGATTCTACATCTGGATACCTTCCCACCCTCCCCATACCCCACTTGCCATGCCAGTCCATTGAATTTTTAAGATGTGATTTTTATCATCTCATGCTTCTTAGGGGCATTCACAGACTTTTGCTGTTTTCAGTTGGTGGCTGCTGCAGTACCCGTATGTACAATGAGTTGCAAATATTAGGAGGTGATGTAGTTAGTTTGACAGGAGCATTACACTTATTATGGTGTCCTATATATTTCTCAGTTCTCCTGAGATAATTTGTGTAAAATTTGTTGTAAGATTCAGTGCTTTCAGCATCACAAAAGTACTACGAAATTGAAAACCAGTAGCCCACAGGACAGCGCAATGTTTTCTGAAAAGAAGGCAGGGGAGGACAAAACAAAGTAATAAAATCAGCATCAGTTTTTATTTATATGAAATAACAAAATGCAGCACGACGGTAAATTCTTACTATCTTTTGAATGTAGAGATAAATTACTTCCAGCTTTTTTGTAGAACCTGTGCCCCTAACTACTTTAAATATTTAAAGTGTGTGTTTATAACATGTAATGTACGTAGTTGTTATGATTATAATATAGATAAACATATAATGGGTATCTGTATGTGCAATAACAATATTGTGCATGTATATGTGTGTATATATACAAACACATAGATAAATGAACACATATCCTAAATATGTATAAAGCTAGGTCCCTCCTTATAATTTCAAATACGTTGCTTTGATACCTTCTCTTTATTTTACTAGGACTAGTTGTGGCTATTAGTCAAATTCATATTTGTACTGATCTGAATGACAAAGTGGCTTGCTGAAGAAGCACTAATGGGTTCACGTTATACTTGTCCACTCTAAGCGTCCATTCCCCTAGAATTTTCTTGTATGTTTATTGACTTAGTTTTGGAGAACAAAAAATGTCATCATAAATGAGACTTTCTTCCCGCTACCATCTTAATTCTGCACTTAGTCACCATGCTCAACCCTTCATGACCCTCAGCCAAGAAAAACCATTTTGTTTGTATTCTGTCCTGAAGAGATTCTGAATGTTAGAAACACTTTGCTCGTTGGTAAGGTGCAGTGGAGAGTATAATGAGGCAGCTATTATGCACATTTTAGAAACAAGCAGTAGAAATGCCAGATCCTCTGATCTTCCCCCTCCCCACCATAAATGATAAAACCAATGGAGCAGAAGGTGTTTGCGTGACTTCCTTCACAAGTAATTACATCAAATTATGCTTTCTGAGAAGGCTAGAAAGTGGTAACAGAGCCTTTACATTTTGAATGCAGGGATGTGCAATGGATGGAGAAAGATTAAATTGTTTTGAGCAGATCTTTGACAGCACAATTGGATGAACTGTTGTTTTATCTGCACAAGCAAATTACCAAAACATGCTGCGTGTGTCAGAGGGGGAGTGGAGGTTAAAATTATCTTTGTCATCTAAATGTTCAGAGCACTTTCCTCTTTTCCTCTTACACTGTTTTTAGTGAAAGTGAAGGAAAAAAACCCAAAACACTGAATTTAAGGTATTGAATAAACAAAACACAATTAATGAGGGCTCTAACTTCATAGTAGTTAGTGAAATTGTCAGTCAGTCATCAACCACAATATTGATTACAGAAGAATAACAGCTTGTAAGTCTCTTGTGTTTTAAATGGGAAATATTTTGAGTGGATTCATGTATCTGAATACATAGCTGGCTTTTTTTTCTAATCCTGAGGCAATTATAGAAGAATCTCTAGGGATGCTTTGAAAAGTTTTCATTTACCTTTTCAATATTAGAATTCCTTTGACACATTTAAGAGAAGCTGTATTTTCTACCATACACTGCAGTAAAACTTATCTTTTAAAATTATTCTTTCTGTTTTCAAAATTGCCTTAAATTCTGAATATACACTTCCAGCGCTGGGATATTCCCTCATCCTATTTCTCTCTACTCTGTTTTCTCCAAAAGAAAACTATACGTATTTCAAGTTGGCGCAGAGTTGTTTTCATTTTAGCCCCTGTAACCCAGTTTATACCACAAAGAGCTAATACTTTTTTCCTTTCAGTATCCCCTCTGATGTGTGTGTCATTCTCAGATAGCTGAAATGGCCCTGTAGCTGCAATCTCATAATCTTATATTTTACTGGAGGAGGTTCTTCAATAGGTGCTGAGTCACACTCTAAATTACATCAGGAAACAATTTCTGATTTTATCTTTTGTTTTGGAAGAAAATTAAATAAATCTTGGATGGTAGGTAGCAATGAAATATTGGAGCTAAAAGGCCGGAAGACTGTGGATTAAGCATATGTCTCAGAGGTAAGGAGGATATGGCTTAAGTGTTCATACCAAAAGGACTTGCCTTTCCAAATTAAGAGATTGTGTAAAGTTTTGTATTTGAGTATTTATAATAATCTATTTTTAACTTGTCCCAGGAAGTGAATTTTTGCAACAGCGAGCAGTGAATCTGCTACTTAATGTCAGGAAGTGCCCAGCTGTTATAACATCATCTATTTTTGTTATAGTTGCTACTGAAATTTAAAAAGTGGCAGGTCTGATCCAACTTAAGTCTGTATCGTTCAGAGGTTATACTTAATGCATAACTTGCATAAATTGTAAAATTTTAATTTTAATAATAGGCTAGAGTAACATTTTACCAGTTTGAATTACCTGTTGGTATAATATGTTTATGTACTGTTTTATTGCATTTCAATAATAATATTTCAGCCTGTGCTAGTAAGAGTTGCTGATTTCAGGAGCTTAGATTCATGTTTTGTTTTTCTCACTGTATACAGTCAGGTTGTCTTCTCATTAGAGTAGTTCTACATTCTTATTCAAAGATAGGAAACATTGACGTCTGAGAAGTGTAAGCACTGTAACATAATATGTAATGCACTTGGTAGAGAAAACAGTACTTGAAATAACATTTCACACTCTGAAATGGTAATCTTACTGTGTAGACTCATTCAGTCAACAGAAGTTCCTTTCAAAATGCTGTTGCTACGGTTGAAAGCTGTCCACATTGTTAAATGCATGCATTTTCTTCATGTTGAAATATTTACTGGCCCAAATGAGACAAATGGGTAAAAGGAAACAGTTTGTGCTGCTAGAAGTACAGTGACAGCATTGTGCTTCGGAATAGGATGGTACCCCAGAAACTAAGCACCTGAAGAATTTGATATTACGTAGTGTGTTGTATTTTTTCAGGTGCCTCTGATTAACGAACTTGAATCTGCAATGCACCAGCTGTACAAACAGCGAGCTTCCCGCCTTGTCCAAAGACGACAAGATGATATTAAAGATGAATCTTCGGAGTTTTCAAGCCATTCAAGTCAGTCCATCTTGAAGGTTTTTATTATTCATTAAACAACCTTGTTTACTTAGTATGGCTTAATTGAAATGTAAATTTTTGAAGTATGACTGTCTTAAAGTTTATCCTTACTCTTGAGATAGGCAGAAGCAAATTTAGATAAAAGTTCTGTAATCTGTTTTGATTTAAACTCAAGGCCGCTCTAACTCTGACTTCATCTCTCCTTTCTGTTGCTCTTAACTATGTTTTTCTCTTTCCTAGCACTGAAAATGTATGTATGGGGGCAGTCGTAGTAGTGGTAGCATGGGACTCCTGATTTTCCTCTTATGTTAGGACTTTTTATCTTTTTTTTTTTTTAACTTCCTTGAATCTATACATTTCCTGTAACACCTACAGTTAATTCTGTACAAAGCCAGAAGCACTGGGCTAGAGTTGAGTTCTGTCTAATGCTCTATTTTTTAGGCAGCATAAGTATTTCATTTCAGACACTTTACTGGTAAAGCTAAGGAACTGGAAGAGACTGGTGGCATTGCTAAAAATCAGACTAACACAAAGTGACCTGTATGAAATACAGCTTACAATTAGCCAGTTTAATAGCTGCTTTTAGTGTGAGTGCGCAGAGCGGTTTTCTTGTGGTGATTACTCTTCTGTATGTAAAACTCTACAAAAGTATAAATATTAACTTGGATGGAAATATACGTTCCTTGGAGGAGGTTTCATTCAGCACGTTAAATGATGGGTAACATTTATTAATAGTAGTCATCTTTCTGCTTTGGAGAACTTCTATTTTTAAAAATGGTTTCCTGGTCTGTTCTATTACTGACCTAAAATGGTATAATAAAAGCCATTTCCTATTGTGTCACAGTGGGTCCAGAGATGAAATTTTGTTAACACTGTTGGATAGAACTTACTGAGGATGGAGCATTAGGGCGGTTAGCATATGTACTTCCGTTAGACTTTATTTGGAGACCCAGGCATCGCATGTGGGCCATGCAGTTTCACCATGAAAACACTGTTGTGAGACCTAGAAACATACTTCCTAAAAGAAGCTGAGAATGGATTATTTTAGGCTAGAATTTAACAATGCGGTGGGAATAGCTGTCATTGTCAAGGCTGGGTTTTAAAGAGATCTTATTTAGTATCTGAGAGTTTTGAGAATGAATTTCACTGTGTCTAAAAATAGTTCAGTTATGTCCCTCAAATTATCACAGAAACTAGGAATTGATGCCAGCCTTTGATTTGATGTGTGTTGGGGACGTAGACGATCTGCTTTTCTTTGTACAGTGTCAGAACACTAAAGGTCTAGAAGGGAATTTAAGTTTGGCTGCCAACTTGTGCTTTACTTTTCTGTAAAGACAAGTGTCTTGGCATCAAATAGCATTTTAAAAAATTGGACAAACAGTAGCTTCATCTGCCTGTTAATGCTCTTAGTAGTTCTGGTATAGAATTGGAATACTGGCACAGATCATCATTAATATTTTTAAAGATAGATTTGTAAATAGATTTAGTTAAAATATGTAAATTGACTCCTGAAATTTGGGTAGGCTTTAGTTTAAATTTTGATCTTTGTATTTTAGTGGGTGGACTTAAGCACTGGCTGACATTCAATCCACTTTAAAAAATGTACGTGAAAAGGATGAACTGGAAACCCTCTTGGGTCTGCCTGCTGGTTGCTGATCAGCTTCACTGGTTAGCTGTGTTGTTTTCAATAATCGGGAACATCCATAATGAATCACAACTTTAAAAGAGGAGGGGAGATGATTTATTTTTGTGTAGATTTTTGATGTGTTAAACTTTAGGCAGTCTGAAGCATGTAAAATAAGGAAACACTATGACTAGAACTCTGAAATATTCTTGCTCTGGTGACTCTTCTCTGCCTTTCTTTTTGTTTGTTTTCTTTTCAAAAGTTACACGGTGAGTGTGTTTGTGTAAGGAGGACCTTTTGTCTTGGAACATTGCATTTAAACAATTCCTGTTTAAACTATTGACTTTTATATAGTTGGGCACTGTTGTGAGAGGAATAAGAGTGAAGTATGGTGAAAACCATTTGACATTTAAGTGGAGATTTTTCCAGACTCCACTACTTCCTCTTTTAACCTCTACACTTGCGAATTCAGGCTTCTGGGTGCATCTTTTTGATACTTCGACTTTTTACTTCAAATTACACTTAGTTTAAAGTAGGTAAAAGGCTCTTATGAAACTGCCTACAACACATTTATATAATTGGAGATGAGCATTTTAATTTTCATCAATGTAATTTTACAGATAAAGCACTGATGGCACCAAATCTTGAATCTTTTGGGCGAGACAGAGTGATCTATCAAGAACAAGTCAAGCGTCGGACTGCAGAAAGAGAGGCCAGAAGGTAGAGTATTGAGATTTCTTGTCCATTAGGAGTCTGTGTTCCCTGCTTGCAGAGTACAGTTGTCCTGTGTGATGTACTAATGTAAGCAGCAATGTTTGCTCTTTTTTTGCAAAGGGAAGAAAACACTTTGGCTGGGTAAGGGTATACAAAACAAGGCACTATTACATGATACAGATTTAAAATCACTAAAAGAAAGCATAGTAAACCTATTCCATAGCTATATGGACTCTGCTGGTTTCTCTTCCTTCCACTATTTGAGGCAGCAACATAGTGACACGTTTGAGGTGGTGACACAGCGAAAGTGTTTTTCCAACCTGTAATTCCTTGCATGAAAAGTTATGACAAGTTTAGGTGGGTCTGTTCATTGAATAGGGGAGAAAAAAATAATAGCTGTTTTATGCTGCTGATCCTTTTCAGAGCTCGTCGTAGACAAGCAAGAGAGCAGACTGGGAAAATGGCAGATCACCTTGAAGGCCTTTCCAGTGATGATGAGGAAACTTCAACGGATATTACAAACTTCAACCTGGAGCGAGGTTGGAAAAGCTACTGAGGCTTTATGTAAATACAGAAAGTTTGGCAGGAAAAAAAGTTGATCCAAATGCAGCACTGTCCGTATATTTCACTGTATCTTCAAGAAAGTTTAGGAACTGTTCCTTGCTGGATCATCAGTGTGACCAAAACAGTCTCTTTAGCCCAACCTGTTGTGCAGCTTATCCTTACACCATCCCTAGTGAGATTCTTTTTATTTAATTCAAACATTCTTTTGCTGGCAAGCAGTAAGTTTTTGTTCCTTCAGTGGATACTAAGTCTTTCTCCTAATTTCTAATGTGGTTTATCATTCTTCAAATATCTGTTTTGCATGCAGAATTCTGAAATCCTCAGTGCTTTAGAAACCATTTTGCTTGTTAGGAAGTATTTTCTGGGGTTTTGCATAAGCATCTAGAAATGCAATGGCAAAAATTTTGTAGAGTCTTGTTACAGCCTGGCAGACTTTGCAGGTGACAGAAAGCAACATTGAATGCAAACATTGCAAAAAGATCTTGTGGTGTTGACTTGACTTGAAATTCACCTGCAGTTTTATGAGGGTTTGCTCAAAGTAACCATTATTATGCAGTTATGCATAACTCTAAGCAGTAATTGATGTTGTAAGTTAAGCTAATGCTTCTAAAGCACTGGGAGAACTGCAGGAAACATGAGATTTGGGGAAGTATGGGTAGTTTGATGGAACAATCATCTTTTACAGCAGCAGTTAAAATAGAAACAGTTCCAGTGGTTACTGTGAAACCACTAGTGAAGAAAGTAGAACATCACTGTAGTAATCCTGTTACCTTCTCATTTTGAATCTGAGTACAATTATCATTCTAATTAAAGAGAATTTAATCAGATTAGGAGGAATGTGGAGAAAGGGAGCAGCAAGGATCATATATATACGTTGCTTATGTTGTGTGTGAGGAGGGATTAAACAGTTTTGGTCTCTTCAGCCAGGAGAATGATGTTGACTTTTCGCAGTATGAGAGCTAGGGGGCATGAAATGAAGTGATAGGATATGTTTGAAGTAAACAAGTCACTTGCCACAGAGGGTTTAATAAAAATGCCAAAGTCATTGCTGTAGGTAGTTGTGAAGGCCTAAAGTATAAACAGGTTAAAAAAGCAATTAAATGAACTGTCTAACACTTGGATCTTTCAGAAGTGCAGTTTTCACACCTTTAGTTGCTGACTGATTTACTAAAGTTCTGGATGCAGGGAGAGTGCTCTTTGATATACAAAATAACTGTTTAGGGTTGTTAGGTGCTATCATTAACTTTGCTGAGTTAAATGGTCTAGATTAAAAATTCAGTGTGTCTAAATTATTCTTTGTAACTTGGTACTTCTATCTGTACAAAAGCCTTTTGTAGGAGTTTCATCAGTTTCTGAGTAAGCATAGTATTTCTAAAGCTTTTTTTTATCATTCATAGCTCTTGTGTTGGTCCAGAATTGGCAGTGAACTATATGGAACAGAGGCATGCACTTTGGACCTGCTGACTTTATTTGTAGCGTCTCTTCCTTGATCCCAGTGTGAGAAGTGTGTTTATATGACATAATCTCTTGTTCCCTCAGCCCTGTCTCTGCCTGCTGCGTGTACTAGTTTTGTTAGTTGTGTGTAGGTTACTGCTGTAATTGAATATTTAAAACTGTGGCTGCAGCAAAAGGGATTGATTAAAATGAAACTAACCCTGGGAAGTAGAAAAGCTGAAGGGAAAATAAATAGATAGAGAAAAAGTTTTGGACTCCATAGAATATTTTATATTATATATAAATACAAAAACATCTAAGGAAGGTGCTAAGGGATTGTAATGGTTGTCCAGTGCTAACAGCCACGTAATGCTTAGCTGTTTAGTGTGGTGTCTGCTAGGACCCACTCTGTCTGAAGTGCCGATTCAGTTGGCTTACCTGAGGTGCCCTCCTGTACTTGCACTTGGATGAGCAAAGTTGTAGAATAATTTGGGTTGGGAGGGACCTGGAGATCAGCTGCTGCAAACTGCCGTGCAAAGCAAGGCCAGAGTTGAATTTAGACCCACACTGTTCTCTTACCTGTATGAATACAACCCAATTCGTCACCAGTCCGGTGTCTGATAACTGAAAAGAATTGTGTGAAATGTTAAAAGCAAGACCTGTGATTAAACAATGTATTGGAGAGCGCTCACATGCTCACATTTTTATTGCTTTGTATATTTGTGGCAGAAGTAACAGAACTTGTAAAGGTGATAGGTTTTCGGTTGTGTTGACAGGAGCTAGCTTATGCCCGTGAGCATCAAAGCCTGTCTTGAAAGAGGTATTACAGGGAATAGGTGATTAACTTATTGCTACTTTTCTCCCTCACCAGATCGTATATTGAAAGAATCCAGCAAAGTTTTTGAAGATGTTTTGGAAAGCTTTTACTCAATTGATTGTATTAAGTCACAGTTTGAAGCTTGGCGCTCAAAGTATTTTGCTTCTTATAAGGATGCTTACATTGGCCTCTGTTTACCAAAGCTGTTTAACCCTCTAATCAGACTTCAGCTGCTTATCTGGACTCCTTTGGAGGTAAGGTCTCATGCAAGCAACTTCTATGTAAGCTTTTATATAGGGGTTGTTTCATTAGATTTAGTGACTGTGTGGTTGTAAAATTAATTGGTTCAGTTGGCTGACTTACGGAAAATTGAGCTTGCTCCCCATCCTCTCTCAGATTTTGTTTAGGTTGACCATGTTACATTAATCTGACCTGTGATGGCATAATTAGTAGTGTCCAGGCAAAGAGGCAGAACATTTTCTTCTCAGGAATCAGGCTTGCCTGTGTTTCTGGAGGAAGTAGTATTAATGCTTCAGAAGTAGGGGAGACAAAGCAGGAGTTGAAGTAGTTCACCCATCTTCGTGCCAGATTAAGAGATAAATTGGTCTTGAGGCACTATATCTTTTTTAATTATTATTTCCGTTGCAGGTGAATACTTGGCACATAGACAAAAAAGACTAGATTTTTGAGTTGTTACTGTGCTCAGCTGCTGCTTACCCTGCCTGCTTAGTATGCTTGGTAGACTGTTTTAAAGTAGTTTTGTTCTGGTTTGTGGGTTGTATGAACTTGCATATATTAGACTTCTTTTTTTAACGTGTTGACTTAAATCTCTGTCACATCTAACCTCAATTCTTTCTTTATTAGGGCAAGTGTCGAGATTTTGAGACTATGTTGTGGTTTGAATCATTGCTGTTTTATGGCTGTGAAGAACAGGAGCAAGTGAAAGATGATGCTGATATTTCACTATTGCCTACCATTGTAGAGAGAGTTGTTCTTCCTAAATTAACAGGTATAGTCTTAGGAAGAAAATGGGGTAAAATGAGTGTGTGTGGAAGTTGGTGCTTCTTTGTGCTTTCAGTTTTTACTGTTTTGTAAATTGCTGACTGACTGTCTTAGTTACCTGTATTTGAGTGTTTGCAAAGTGAGGTAATCCTTCAATCTCTTACAGTGATTTCTGAAAATATATGGGATCCTTTTTCTACAACACAAACATCTAGAATGGTAGCAATTGTACAGAAACTAGTAGATGGATATCCTTCAGTTGTGAATGCAGAAAACAAAAATACACAAGTAAGTTGTTTTTTCTTAAACATCTTGCTAAGGATATTTGAATACATTTTTAATGCACTATATTGGAGAACACAGCATGCTTAGTGAGGAGCAAGAAAGAGAATTTTGCAGTTATTTTATGCTCTGCAGCCTGAAGTCAAGTACAGTGATAAATTGAGAGGAGGAACTTGGAGAAGTCTCCCCAAAATAGATGAAAAGAGATACCAAATGTATTAAGATTTGTTGTTCTGCAGTTTTTGCTTTAAGTGTCAGCAACAGATAGTCAGGCTCTTGTTTTTTAGGTCTTTGTGACCTTTTCAAATGTATTGCCTTGAAATCTGATTGCTTTACTTGCTTACCTTCTCCGAATACAAGAACAGATTTTGCAAGTTCAGGTGCTGTATCTAATCCAATGTACACACTGCCTTTAGAATAATGGAAGATAGGTCAAAGTGCACGTGTATGGGGAAGTTAGCAGACGATTAAAAATTACAAAAGCCCTGACCTCACAGTAGTTAATTGTGTAGCCAAGTTTAACCATGCAGTAGTTCCATTGCCTTCAGTTTTTACTGAAAGTGTCAAGCTTCAGCTCTGTTAATTATTATAGGCTTCTCTAAGACTTTATTTATATGTGTGCTTAAGTACATTAAGCGCCTTTTACTGTTAGGGCCACGGACCTTCTTTGTTGCTTTGAAAATCAGTTTCTGAGTGGTTAACTACTAAGCAGTGCTTTTAACACATTTTAAAAAATGTATCTGTTTCAGATGCTTTTAAAGGCATTGTTGCTAAGAATGAGGAGAACACTAGATGATGATGTATTCATGCCCTTATATCCAAAAAAGTAAGTTTGCTTTCAGCAATGCTATTAGACTTTTATTAGCAAGTCGATGTCTTCTGTCCATAGTTGACAGGGGTTTTTTCCCAATATGGTTCACTGGCTGGATACAGGAGATCTTTCATTATGCTGTGAGGATGTAGCAAAGACAAGCAGGATGGAAGGGAGTATTTATAGAAATGAACTGTATGTGGGAAGGAGGAAGCCAGCAAACTCCAGACAGAGGTGGTCTTGGTTGCTCATTAAAGAAATCTCTTACTTTCCAGCGTCTTAGAAAACAAGAACTCTGGTCCCTATTTGTTTTTCCAACGTCAGTTTTGGTCCTCTGTTAAGGTAAGTCAGTACATACATCCAGTAAATCTTTGGTCTAGACAGCGTAGCAATAGAATTCTCTTCAAATTTGTGGAAAATGGTAGATGGAAATTGCTTTACCTTTAGTTGAAGAAATTTAAATTAGGATTTGTAGTCTTTGATAATAGACTGTGCCCTCTTCAAAAGATTGCCAGGTGAAAGCACCATCTTTTTAACTTGTACGTTGTGAGTTTATTTAGTGTACTCAACCTAGGGGTTTTTTTTTTAATGTCATTGTGCTTGTCAGAATAAAATATGATGCTTTTATTTCACTTACGTGGGAATGAGAAAGCTTGGTTTGTATTTATATATATAATGAGAATCTTCATGAAAATAACTTGGCCCCTTTTGGAATGCTTACTGTTATATGTAAAGTATAAGGGCATTTGTAATCTTAGTTTAATTGAAATTATAAAGAGTGTGTAAGAAAAAGTCTGTGTGTGGAATGTGCAGTACAGAGTTTGCAAAGGTCTGTAGGAAGCTATGGCCATTGTAGTTCTATTTCCAACAAAAGGCTGAGAAAAAAATTAATTCACAACTAAACAGGACAGTAAAGTATGAGACCCAGGTTGATTGAGCTGCTGATCTCCATGATCGTGCAAACAGAACTCTTATCTGGAATTTTCTATTTAAATTGCAGCAGTGAGGGAGACTGTATTCTGAAGAGGTTTGCAAACACTTTATTTAAAATATTTGGCCCTGAATTCTTTCACTTAGAAATAAAAATCAACTTCGTAAATGCTGTCTAGAGCAAAAAATGCACAAAACTCATTTATGCTGCTGTTAAAAGTGAAACAGATTGCTTATTTAAGGGCTTGTGTCTTATAAGAGTGAAATTGCCTGCTTCTGGCAGTATTTATTGGAGCTGGGGCAATTTAGAACTATGCATGCTGTTACCACTGTTATATTTTAGGGAAGCATTAAAAATACAGCACTCTTGCGCTAGCAAATCAGTTATAGCATCACAGACAGACAGAAATAGAAGCTGGGAGGCAGGCGCTCGTTGGCTGTTTCCTGATGCTCTGCCCCAGCAGTAAACTGCTGGTTGGCGTGCGTTTGTACGAGCCTGGCAGCGTTTCTCCACAGGCCATGCTAGGCCAGTGAGGAAGAACAGCTGTACGGTTGGCTTAGCAGCACTCCCCTGTGACACTGTCTGTGCCTCTTGTGTCAGCGTGCCTTGGAAATAAGGGTATGCTGACAGCATACCTGGGGATTTTGTTGACAAGGGGGCTGTGAATTTACCCCCGTATGGCATATGCTTGGCCTCATTTGGCATGACACTGACATCAGATTTTGAGAACAAGATGGCATAAAACTTCAGGGGATTTCTGGGGTTTTTTTCTCCTGATTTCTTGTGGAAAACATGAGCATAGTTGGAGTGGAGATTGTTGTATGAGAATTCATAACACTTAAGACTGGTACTTCATGAATTCTGAATAGTTTTGATACTAACAGAAGGCGTTTTTCCACTGCTTACCTCGGCCATGCTGTTGCATTTGAAGAGGTTCTAGAGTGTTTGATCAATTTCCTGGTTTCAGTACATTTTTAAGTACTTATTTTCCCTGTGTTGTATTTTCAGTTATTAGGAAACTTTCTCCAGTGGTATGGAATCCTTTCAAACAAAACTCTTCAGGAACTGTCAATAGATGGTCTGCTAAATAGATACATTCTTATGGCTTTTCAAAACTCTGAGTATGGAGAGGACAGCATTAAGAAAGCTCAAAGTGTAAGTAAAATCCAACAATGTTTAAAATCACATGAAATTTGAGAGTTAAGGAAAAATGTAGTTAAAACTTGAGGTTATGAAATCTTGGCTTTGATAAATCAATATTGTAGTGTCAGTGGAAGAAAAGAGTTGTTTGGGGTTTTCTTTGATACACAAACTAAAGAAAGAAGCTTCTCTGGCTCATACATGTAGATAGTTTAGGTATGGTATACGTTTCAGTGTCTTACTGCATTAATTTTGGATCTTCCCCTGCACTCCCCTAGTTTTACTCAGTTGGACTTTGTCACTGCAATCTTACTTGGTAGACTTCGCAAATCATGTTAGATAACCTCTAAAATTTTGTTATGTTTTGTTTAACTTTCTTTTTCCTGTTATGTCTAGGTGATTGCTTGCTTTCCTAAACAGTGGTTCACTAATCTAAAAGGAGACAAAACTATTTCTCAGTTAGAAAACTTCTGTAGATACCTTGTTCATCTGGCTGATACGATTTATAGAAACAGCATTGGTTGCTCTGACGTAGAGAAGAGAAATGCAAGGTAACTTGTTTTGAGTTACTGCAGTTCCTGCACTGCAGTTCTTGTGTTTTGTGTTATTATGCTGATGCATGCAAACATGGGTAAATATCTTCATACTGCTGCATGTCTTTTGAAACAATGTTGAATTTGAACTTTTAAATATTATGGTACAGTAGATGGGGAGATTTTTAAGGTGTCTGAAAACAGCAACTTCTGGAAATCTTGAAACATTCATAATGCATTTTGCACTACTGCTTAGTGTCGCTGATCCTGGAAAACTTTGTAGTTACTGACTTTGGACTGTTCTACCTTGTTGAGCCTGTTGCAGGGTCTTGCATAAGGGCTTCTAAATTACAAATTGTGCTTTTGTGTACAGTACAAAAGTTCTGGCTTTATTCACACAACCAACAAGGTGAACCTCCCTTACCCCAGATTGAAGATTCATTTTACTTCTATCTGATAACCAGCATAATTAAAAGTTCAGATTAGATGCATAAATGTTACTGCTGGCCAAGTAACCTCAAGTGCTGTGAGTTTATTGTTTTAAGCAATGATAAACTTAAAAGCCAAATCATTGCACTGATAGACAGGAATATAACAAGACTGGAAGGTTGCTTATTCCTGTGCTGTTGCATGAGAAGGAGAGGCTTCAAGGTTGATAGTTCAGTTGTTGTAGCAAACCTGAAACTTGGAAAGATGAACCCTTGCGGCTAGTGTTAGTCATTCCTTCTTGTTGAACTTGCTTCAGCCATTGTTGAGTTACTCTTCAATTATTGATGCTCTCTCGGGTATTAGATCTGCCTCTCGTTTTGATCTTATGCATAGCACTGAAACACAGAGACAGAAATTTCCCTTAAACCGTAGCAGAAAAACCTTGATTAAGAGGTTTGGGGTTTGGTGGTGGTTTTTTTCGCTGGTATCAATTTTTTTACAGTTACCATGTTGGTTATTAGACACTTTTCTGTCTTTAGAGTCACTTTTGGCTGTGGCGTATGAATCATCTCGTTCTCAGAACAATGAGCTTTCTGTCATGCTGGGTTTTGCTCAAACAACTTTTTATCCACTCTGAGGTTATGCCTCAGGACTTTGTGTCTGAAGTGAAACAGCAATGTCACATCCCAATTTAAATTTCCCCATGTTACAAATTCAAAGTGGACTTCTTACTCCTTCTTTTCTAAAACCAAGATGCCTAGCCTAGCATGGTACTGGGATTGAAGTAAAGGAGCTGAGAGAGAATCCAGTAGAGATTAAACTTTCTCTCTTTTGGTAGCTTGTTTCTAAATTTGAAATAACTTTCTTTACCAGCTGAGATGATAACGTGGTAAAACTTTGTATTGGAAGAGAAACATTCAGTTAATCCCTTTTTTTAATAGTGAGTCCTAATTTAATTTCTATCGTCTGTTCTCTTGCTTTTTCCCAGCATTTAACAAATCTGTTGCGATTGTCCCCATTAAGGAGATAAAATAATTCTGCAGCAGAAATACTACTTTTTATAACTGAAGAATGTAATGTATTTTCATCTAAAACCTAATACAGTTGTTTGAAACAAAAAAACGTTAATTTCTTCTGAGGGAAGTGTATCTTTACCTATGTCTGTTGGTGCTGGTTTTCCAAATGTTGGATGCTTTTTTACAGATCAGCTAGGTTCATTTTTAAGATTAATTTTGAACTTGTAATATATTTTGGGAGACTGGTCTAAATTTCATGTCTGTCCTCCTAGCAAGATACCAAAATTGTTCTTGACAGCCAAAGAAGTACAGTCCTCCTAGCAGTTTGTTCCCTCTCAGCTTCCTAGATTGACCTAAGTTGTAATGCAGTTCATTGGTGGCAAGCTTCGTACCTTTCTAAGGTGTGCATTAAAGCATACTCACTGCCTTGGTTTTATTTTTTCTTCCTTTTTGGCTTATACATTAGTTACCGAGAGAGCTGTGACTCACTGCACAGTGCCATAAGTAATCCAAGATTTTTTCTTGAGATTATACTGCGTCTAGTATTAAATGATTGTGTATGATTAATTCCTACTTCCAACATCATTTTTTTCAATTGCAGTACAAAGCTGATAACTCATTTTATCAGACTAAGCAAGTGAAGGAGAAGGTGATGCAAAGTTACCTCAAAATTATTTGCTGTATGGAGTCATAATGCCGTCTTCTGTTGAAATGTTAATACTTGCACATGATTGTTCCATTCCTTTATTGACTTCTCCTGTCTCTTTTTTTAGGGAGCACATAAAGCAGATCATAAAGCTTCTAGCAAGTATCCGAGCATTGGACCATGCTGTGACAGTTGCAAATGATCACAACGTAAAAGAGTTAAAGATTTTAATAGAAGGAAAATAGACTTTTCCGACAACTCGTTTTGAGCTTTAAAACCATTCCTGATGTGTAATTTATGTACATATGTAAAGTTTCTTAAACTGTAAAGTATTGATCTTTGTTTTAATACAAAGTGCATTCTTATATACAGCATCCTTAAAAAAAAAATTGAACTTCTTTGAAAACAAAAATGAAATCCCAAGGTTGTCACATTTCCAGAAATCAGATTTTCCTTAAAGTTTCTCAAAATCTTGTTTACAAAAATACTTTGTACCCATGATCAGTAGTCATCTGCTCTTGTTAATTGTTCCATGGTTAACTGGAATGTGTATAATATGTGTAATACAATGTATGCATATATTTATAACACCATGTTGCTTTCACACTGGATAAAAGATCTTTTACTGTTGGAATAAGTTCTTCATTTGCTAAAAAAATACTTATTTTGACAATAAAATGATCATATTATTGGTCAAAAGGGCTGGCAAGACATTGAAATATGTGAAAATCACTTGAGCTGGAGAGTAGAGATACTTTCAAATGGAACTTTACCTTTAAAAAGCAGCTGTGCTGCACTCAAATTGGAATAGGTAAAAAATTATTTGCATCTAAAGTATGGAGCTCTTAAGCCTGTTCTTAGAAACAAAACAGAAAGGAAAACCTAAATCAATGCTTAATTATTTTTTAATACAGGCATACAATAAGAATTTGTGATTGTTGTGCAGTTATACACAACAGCACTTCCTAAGCCCCAAACACCTTTTGCTTTGTAGAAGTAATAGTTTACCCATGAACTCTGGGCCCTCATTCCTTGTGCAAGTTGGTTAAATTCATTGTTTAAGTCATTTTTTTGTTTTTAATAACTTAAGACATGGAACCTGTTTCTTCTGATTGGTATGGCTAAAGATGTCAAGCGAAATAAAGGTGAAGAAAATTTTATATCCTATGATTTGAAGTATTTATATTGTAATAAATATTCAAACGTTACACTTTCTGCGCAATACCATCTAAGAGTACAGTTTTGCAAAACAAAGCATTTAATTTAGTTGTAAATTAAAAAGAAAACACTTTAAAAATATGGAGATCACTGGTGACATGATCTTGGGGTCTGACGCATGGGCATAGCTATAATAGCCTTGGATTAGGAGCTTTTTCCAGGTGTGCCCTACATTTTTTGGGAGCTGTAGCAATAAATTGACATACTGAATAGCATAAGAATCATTGTATTTTATGCTCGTGTCATGTGGTATAAATGAGTATATGAAAAATGTACAATTTGTAACATGCACACTTCATTTGGACACTGAACAAATGTTTTTCTGAACTGTTGGGACTGATGGAGTACATTCGGAAATACCTGCTTTTAAAAATTGTTTCAATAAACTCGTCTGTTAAGGAGCTGTTGCAGTGCAACTTGGTAAGCTTTATTCCTGTGGGAAAGTGGTAAAGGAAAAGGTACGCATGCTGGCTAACTCTTACTTCATTATGTCAGAAAGAAAAACATAGTCCTTAGTGAACAGAAGTGTCTTTGCTTTGAAAAGGCAGTAAACTAAACACTAAACTAAATTCATATACCCACATAAAGAGTAGTTAAGATGTTTTGAAAGATTATTGTGCTGGTAGTTACGCGATTTATTTTTAATAGTGACAAACTTAACAAAATAAAACTTGCCCAAGCAGTTCTAGGACCTGTGCTGCTAATTTAGGTTGGTTGTCTGACTGGATAGATGGTCTTACTGTTTGCAAATGAATCTAAACAGCTATTACTGCAGGGGTGAATATGTACTTTATATCTATTTAGATATTTTAGACCATGGCATTCCTTCAGCTGAAATTACTGAAACAGTTTCAGAAATGTAGAAGCCTGTCTTTTCTTTGAATATGTCAACATGCGTGTGCATTTGTTCAGAATAACTAAGTAACAACCTCAAATGCCAAAGCTCTTCACTGGTTTTTCTATATCCAGAATTTTGAATGACATCCAATACCGAAGCCACAAGGTGGCAGATTCAAAGACTTCAACACTGGAAAATAAGTGAGGTGCTCGACCAGGAGGTGTCAGAGTTTGGATTTTCAATTACGAAATGTTTCAGACCTTGGGGGTAATAAAGCTAGAGAGTGCTGGAAGAGAGTCGGAGTCAACTGCTCTCTTTGAGTGCCTCTGTAGAAAAAAGGTGGCCAGTTCAGGCAGGTCAACCGTGATCCATCTGCGTTGAAAGTCCTCTTCAGCCTTGCCCTGCTGTCCACCTGATCTCCCTGGGCTAATAAAACAACAGTCACTGCATTTGTTTGGCAAATCGTGCTTGTTCACGCTCTGCACTGCCTTTCTGGGAAGAGCACTTGAAATGAGTCATTTCCTGACTCTCTCTGACTGTGGTTCATGGAGGAGAAAAGCTGGATGTTCAAGCCCTCAGCTGTCATCTCAAGCTTTGCTTTTCTGCTAATAGCATATATAACTACAAAACTTAAATGCGGGTGTGTAACTGCCGTTTCATTAGGTGTGTATGCTACTAATGGAGCCCCAGACTAATTCCTTGTAACTCTGTTACAAATTACAGCTGCAGGGAATATTTTTTTCAAGAGAGCCTGTAGTCATTTTCCTAGTTAACTGCTGTGGAAGGCCCCTCTTGCTGTTACACTTAGCCCGTCCTCCATCTGCTACCAAGATGCCATGTGGCTACAGTGTCTGAGCCCTTGCATGCTTAAGAAGTTTCTCCTTCCTATCCCCATAAAGTTAGTCAGATTTGGAGAACAGTAACAAGCAGAAACTAGCAGCAAAGTATACTTAGGAGTGATAAATAATCTGACTCCTCATTTAGAGCAAGGTGATGCCTTTCCTATGTATAAATGGTTAGAATTATATAGGCATATATAGAGACATATAATGATATAATTAGCCAATTTTATTTACAAACAAAATAACCACTTTCACTTCTACCACTTCACCTGTGCCTAGTTCACTGACCCAAATTAAATGCTAGAAGCAAAGCAGTCATGCTTTGTGTAACAGTCTTTACACAGTGTTACACAACTGTTGCTTGGTCGAGGTATAATCCAAGGCAATCTGCTTTAACGTTATTCTCCCACAATTTACTGTGTGTATCTTACTGTTCCCTATCAAAATTAACAATAAGTTGTTCCATAAAATTAACAATTAATTGTAACATGTTAAAAGACTGATGTCCTAGAAGACGGTGAAATCCTGTGTGAGAAGGTATTAACACATTTAATGATGTGGCAGCCTTGTTTCTGCTCAGAACTCTACAGGGACCTTTGAGAAAGTCTAATAACCCCTTCAGTAGTTAGTGTTGTTTAGGAAAAGGAAAGATGTAAAACATGTAAGAAAAATGCCGCACGTAAAATTGCCGATCATTGAAATTTCTATGAACAGTATATTACAGAATTATCACAGTTATTTAATTGTTGTAAGTATTTTATTGTACAGTTATGTATGATTACAGTTACTGCAGAATTTAATTTGCTGATCTTTACCCTAAAGGTCAGCAATAGTGAAGAGCAAACCTTGTCTTTTACAATAAAGTAAAACAAAATGAAATCTAAAATGGGAAATTGAGAAGTTTGAGGAAAAATTGTGCAGATACAGGGAGCCATATGGTTCCTCTTTCTTCTCCTTTCAGACACATTTCATTTTCAGAAAAAAATTACTAATCGGTACTTCTGCTTTCAATTGTCCCTAAATTTCTCCACAAATAAAGGCATTTTCTTAGAAAGAATCCTAAATATATATGCTGGCAGAAAGGATATGCACTGGCAATTTTGATGTGGTGTGCAGCTGTGGTAGAATGACTTCATGATATTTGTCTTAACAGGTTGAACCATCCCCTTATGCGTGGTGGTGCTTACAAGCAGCATTCCTGTCATCTCAGGCTTACTAGTTGCCCAGTGAAAATTAAATGTCCTGTGACCAGTGCTCTAAAGGGAAATAACAACTTCTGTGATCTGACCGTGAGGCTTTACCTGTGAAGTCACAAGCAAACAGTTCCTGAAGAGTTCGTGCTGGGTGTACAGAAAAGAGAACTCTGAGGAGGCTTCAAAAATGGGTGTTGTGAGGAAGAGGGTGGTTGTGGTTTTTTGAGAAACTCGCATGCAACCAACAGGATGGATCAGAGTTGAGCGGTTTTGCCCTCTATGTGGTATCTCCAAACATAAAGCTTTGGTAGCCTGACAGTTGCCAGGTGAATTAAGGCTGTTTGCACCATGAAATAAGGCAGGATTTTTTGTCCAAGAGTACTTAATTTCTGCATAAAACTAAAACTCTTGCCCTATATATGCAGAAATAAATGCATGGGGATAAAATAATTACATGGAGACAGACTTAATAACACAAGGGCCTGCAATTCAAGGCTTTGCTCCAAACAATGACTTGAGCGTATAGTTTTGTTCAAATTCATGAACTGTTCCATTGACTCTACTTACATTACTTCTGTGCTTTATGTACATAGTTAAACGTTTTCATGGAGCAGAGATGTAGAGTGAAACACAGATGTATCTCTGAGATTCGGCGTAGTACTTTTCATACATACTTAAGCCCAAATTTTCATCGTCTAGATTTCATACAAGATCTTGAGTATTGTCTGTTTACTGTCCTAGGGCTCCTGTGATACCCAGCTAATGGAGAACATGAAGTGGGATGTAGGTTGTGTGACCATGGGCCTCACACGTCCCAGGAACGTGCGGCTTAAAGTAATTGTTTTGCGCTTAAATCACATATTGGCATTTTACCCAAAAGCTCCAATCAGAATAAGACATTAATTGAACTAAAGATACTAAAAGTACAATATACACACATGGTTACTACTGCAAGGAGCTAGCAATTCAGGGAACTTGCATCTGCAGGCAGGTGGTGGTTAGAGCAAACTCAGCTTTAAAGATTTAATGAGTGTCAGGAATTTGCAGGAGTAAGGCCTATGAGTAGTGCTAGGAAGGATGTGCAAACTAAATATAATTTCAGAACTTTCATTTATTTGCTATTGATGGGCCAATTTAGCGATGTGCAGTACCACAGATGTCCCTGTGAAAATGGTGGTGAACACTTAGTGGGATGGGTAAATCAGGTGGAGGCCACGCTGTCAGCAGTGCCCATCCCAGAGCCTGGCAGCCCTGTGTTGCTGCTGCCAAGGGGAGAGGTGGGGTGTGGGAAGCTGTTGATGCTGCTGAGGCTGAAGCTCACTCTCTCCCTGGTTTTTGCCATTGCTGTTTTTTGCACTCCTCCTTCCCAATTTTGCAGCAGGATATGCAGGCCCAGAAACTTTTCTCTTCCCTTTTCCAGCATCCTAATTCTGCCTCTACATCTGTTTTCTCTGTGACAGATGCAGCACGGCCCTGGGCTTCCTCACCTTTTTGATACCAAAGGTAAATGTTGCCTAGGTTGGTGAGAAGCCCTGAGCCACCTCTGCTTTCAGACGACAAGGAAGTTTTAAATAGGTTCTGCTTTGAATCACAGTGACCTTGTGGTGGGCTGACCTTGGACTGCAGCCAGATGCCCACCCAGATGTGTTCTCACCCTCCTCCTCAACAGGACAGAGTGAGAAAATAGGAGGAAAAAAGTCG